TATAAATTACTAGCTTCCGCCCACAACTTTGGACGTAGTAAAAGAATTTTGGAATCAATTCATTGTAGCTATCAATTAGTGAAAGAATTTTGGAAATCCGACCAGCCGTTCCAAATATTACCCCCTACATACAAACTTACAAATTTTACCTCTTTATAATATTAAGTACCATACATATTATAAATGGATTTGATTAATTATCTTGTAGAGAAGGAGGTAGTAGTAAAACTTATCGAGTTCTTACAACATCGATGGCAGTGTAACACTCAAACGGGGATGAGTCAAAGTAAAATGCACTCGGCGCCCTTGTTCCGTTTATAAAGAGTTCAGGCGTTCAGACTGCTAAGACTGAGACTCACTACAAACAAGTCGAGTTGAATCGGCCCGGCCTGTTCGTTTTATCTTGATGTTACTTACATTATGCACCATCGAAGGCTGCATTTTGGTGAAATGTTTTGACAATTTATCTGTGCGATATGTGCTGTTGGGAAGATTCTGTTCCTTTATTTATTTTGGCATTAAAGATTTGTATACTAACGTAACTAGTACTTTATTAGATATCAATTTAATACGGTAGTTTCCAACTAGTCAAATTCAATACTTTTATCCAAATGTCAAAAACGATACTTTTCTATAAAATTTGTATGAAAAACTGAGGTATGACGTCATAACAGTTTTGCGTCAAATAGCTTACTTATTTCTGAATAATGTGCTAAAATAATTTAAAACTAAGTTTATCGATCGATCGATGAATAAAAGTATAGTTATTTTTTAATATTTTATTGTATTAAAACGTCGAATTAATTTATTTTTGACCTAGGACACTACTCAATTATTGCCCTCATCATCGTCTTCGTTGCGTTGCGTCGAACTCAAGGTTCATGGCGCGGTCGTAGGCCTTTTAAGAAACAAACACAGAGTTTCTTTCTTTAACTTTTTCGTATCGTTGTCGCCATCGCCATTGCATTAATAATACGTTAGATGGTGCTATGCTCCTTTGCTATACGTACGTCATTATTGCGCTTAGTACACACAGTACGTGATCCATACATAATGAAACAAATCATTCGACCAACCAGCTGGGGTTCAAAGAAATATTAAACTAATTTTGTCTTAGGATACACTAGAGCCTTTTCTTCTAAGCACGATGAAAACGTATATCAATATGCACAAACCAGTCATAATTGGAACACTTGTTTTGAATAAACTTTTCCCTCAATAAGTACTTATAAACAGGATGGATGCATAAAAGAGAATTTTGTATTGAGATTGATGCGAAGAGTCTTAATCACATTACAAGTAGTACCCACAGACAGACTACGTCCGACTCCAGCAGAAGTATCGAGCAGATACCTTTAAATAATATTCAGAGAAATTCTGATACAGAAAAGTATGAATAAACTTCGATACCAACTATCTAATAACCTGATAAGTTTTAATGGCAACAAGTATTTGCTAAGAGCGAATTTACTTCAGTGGTCGGTTGCAATTTGTGTGCACGAGCGACCAGCTAGATGGCAGATATCGAGTTAGTGACTAGGGTCTAGATATACAAAGTAAAGCCAGGTACTCACCTGATTAACATTTACCTAACTACTTGCAATGAATGAGGGTGAATGGAATTGCAACATCCAGTGACTTAGCACCTTGGCACACAGATCTATCTCGGACATTTCGAAATACCGTTGAATTAGTGGCGCTTGTCATTTAATTATCAAAGTGTTAATTGATTAGTGTAACTAATTGTAGTAGAGATTGTGACCATCATAATCAAGCTATAATAGGTGCGTTTCGTCGAACTGTTGACTTGACTTAACATTTAGAGACTCCTACACGATTTGGAGAGGAAGTGAAACACGTATTATTAAATGATTTCGCTCTCGTTCCAAGAAAATATTATTCTCCACGAGATAACAATACCTGGCATAATAATTGCTTTATAATTCTAAAACACACAATAAAGTCGTTACCGTCACTATAATATAGAAATAAGTAGGTACAGAGGTATTTATGCTTCTGTCGTCAACAAAGCTTTGTGAGATGCAGAAAAGGGTTCCCGTAAAGCGTGCCGCCTTAGCCGACCGGCCATGAACTTACTTTATGTGTTTCGTAGGTAGTTAGGAGGTGGAACTTACATTCAAACTTCAAAGCGCAAGACGCGACAACGCGAAATATGATTCAATGCTCCTAGATGGGACAATCACGAAGCTGGATCGGTGCAGCGCTTTAGAATATTCTAGACCACATTTCTAAGGTGTGAGCACTTCGAAGTTTCAAATATGAACCTAGATAGATAGCTATTGATTTATCTTACGACTCTGATATAAAGACAACCCTGCTCCTTCCTTAGCGCAAAGGAGTATAGTATAGTATAGAGTTATGTTGAAGAACGAAAGGAAGGAATTATAAGACAGTAAAATATGTTGACATTAAACAGGAAATCGGTAAAATTCGAGATATTTTATTGGTAGAACTCATCTGTACTCTAGAATGAGTATAAATAAGAGAATGAACTTACAATGGGTACTTTAAAATTTCAGCTGCAAGGTTGACATTCTCACAGATACTTACGTAAAACTTCTTGTTTCACTTAATAACTAGTTAAACCTTCAACGGCAACAGTTTTTGTTAACACTTAACGATAAGTCCACATACCTAAGTTATACATTGAGGACTTATACTGTGATACAAAGAGTATGTCGCAAATATTATAATAAGTGGGTGTTTTCTTGTAGTCACCCACATCTTCGTAAAATAATATGGCAGCTCTATGATTCCTCTGGTGTGGTATTTATTGAAAGACTATAATAATGTGGGAGTGAAGAAAAATCCTTTGGAAAATATTTTATATTGCGCCATCATTTCGAAGCAAAAGTTTTCATGTAGCTGAATGCTCACGCTCAAGAACCTTTTATGTAAGACTTCAGGGCAACAAGTGCAATGAAATGGATAACATAAAGCAACATGTTTAGAAGTTCATTCTATACCACTATATATATATATAACATGACACGTTGTTTACGTCAGTCCATGTGGAAGGAACAATGTATGGTCGTTTATTAAATAGTCGACGCAACACAAACTGACTAGGATGGCTGGAGAGGCAGCGAGCCGAGCCTTTCAAACTCGAAATCAAAATAAAAAGCTTTAATACTGAACGAAACAGGTTCTACGTTAGGGCCACTCGTCTCGTTCCTTTTCTTTAAACTTTTGCCAAACGTTGTGTGTGTAATGTATCTATAGTCACACACCAAGTAACTGTCATAACGATCAATGTTTGGTATGTTTATAGTCTTCGTCGTGGATGAACACACCTGTGCCCGACCCCTCATTAACAACCCTGGGTCGATGGAGGTTCTGATCAGTTTTGGACCAGTTTAGCTAAACTTATGACTTACTCACCTAGCAAGAGGCTAGCGCATAACTTTACCAACTTCAAAGATTTACATAAGTGAATACATTCAAGGACTGTTCCAGTAGATATAAGTTTTACGACGAAACCAAGTTTGGAAGCAAATAAAAGCACATAAAATTGTATAGAGAATGCAACAAAACAAGTTCATTACTGGAACACATCGTTCTAAATGATGGAATTCAAAGTTAATTTTGTTTCTATTGTACTGAGTCCTCGTCCATGTTATGTGATACCTACCTACATCTTGCGATAGCTCTATGCATACCGGTGATACCAACGAATACCGGAGCTTTAATGAGACAAAGGGACGGAATGTAAGTTTGTTTATTTATGCTCTATCCGACCGCGACGTTGAGCTAATTTTTACCTGACTAAATTATATTAACTAAATTATAATTTTGCTTGGTTTAAATGGTACATGGTACATCCTCTTAGTCGGTTGATTCTTCTAATATAGTTTGGCAAATTGACTTAATAAGTAGTTGCATTTTTTACTAAGATATATTAAGTACCTACCTATTTAAACTAAACGGTCTACGGGGCAAAATAATTCAAATCAGAATTCAATAAAAAATCTGAACAATTTATTATGCTATGCACGGAGGAGGCACTTATCAACAATGAATGCGGCTACTAAATATTACACAAGATTGCACATCTTCAAGCTAAACAAAAAATTTCGAAACGCCTGTGTCCAAATAGGACAAGGCAAGGGATAATACATCGCCAAATTAATTAGATTCAGAAAAAAAATCTCGTTTTAGATGTAGGTATATTTTGGAACATGAACAATAATTACTCAATTGGTTACTTGATAAGTATCTATATATAAATAATGTATACCCACATTCATTACCTACTCATTGTCGAATTGTCGAATTTTTTATCGAGACTGTTGTTTTGTAACGTTTTGTCCGCGAAATAGAGCGACTCTCTAAAAAAAAATAGAAATTAATATTAGTAGTAGAGATATTAAAAATTAAATGAAAGTGTAATTTTTTTAAATAATTTATTGAATAGAAAAATCGAAATGACTAATTTATTTTTAAATTTGAACATGGAACGTAATTATCCACAAGATTACCGGGTAATTATATGAAGATGATGAAAGAGGGGCGAAGTCAAGTATCTAATTGAAAGCTGATTGTATCCACATCCAATTAATCGGACATTTCATTGAATATCGTTCACACATCTTGAATTTCTAAGAACTGTGTCCACAAACTACACCATACGACGCCGTATCAATAGGTCTATATATGTATATCTGTTTCCAATTAGCCAAAGCGAATCTGCAATCTAATAATACATATGACAACAATAACCAATCTCAATTAACCTTCAAGTTATAAGTACAACAGTAGCTGGTACTTACCTACCTGCACATGTTATTGTGTGGTTTTGGCCAAGTTGTAAACTTTGCACTTTGAGTCTTTGTCTAGTTTTCTCGTCAGTTCAGACGCAGTTTCGATGAAAACAATTTCCGATTCAATTTCAAACTTGAGCGATGCTGACTTCTAAAATACGTGAGCAGGTACTAGGTATACAGAATAGTAACGATGTAACGTATTTTGTATTCTCGCAGGGATCTAAGGTTCAACAAGATTACGGACATCGAGCCAGGAGTGCTGTCCCACCTGCATTCGCTGCGCTCCTTGCTTCTCAACGACAACCGGCTTCGAGAACTGGTCTCCGGCACCTTCCATGGACTCCGCAAGCTCAAGTACCTGTACCTGTACAGGAACCGCATCCAGTACATCGAGCAAGACGTGTTCCAGGGACTCGAGCACTTGGAGCAACTGTAAGTACTTATTCATTAATTCTTTCTTATCACAAAATTAGATAACTAGGTTATCTCCGTACTTTCGCGGTGTCAAGGAACTTTGCATCGTACAAAGACCTGTTTAAGGTCTAATATGTTGCTTACAGTTTCAATAATGCACGTGTAGTCTCCAGTGTAGGTAATAGTGTCACGTCGAGACTATGCACATATTTTTACGTCGGGTTAGTCAATACACTCAGCTAGCATCGTAATTCAGTTACTATCGACTCGCGAACTTGATTACGTTATGACGATAAACTTATAATTAGGTACTGGCTTGCTTTTACAATGTTGGCTGTTTTGAGCCTTCTGCTTTTATATTATTTAAAAAGGATTTCGATATTCGATTATTGTCACAAGTTAACATGATTGAAATAATCACAGCAGCACTCACCGATTGCTACCGCTACTTTTATGGTATTTGCTCAGCCGTCGTCAATCAGTTTATCGTTTTTGGCAATAAATTATATATTTTCGATTCCAAATATCCGGTAGGTACACAAGATAGCTCGAGTCCCGGCCCCTAGGACGAGATAAGATATTGCATGTTTGGACTTGCATGGTTAGATGTTTACGCCATCTGTAAACTGTCTTTTGACCTAAATTTTTATAGCATTCGTTTCATGAATACCAAACACATTAAACAGGGACGTAATTTTTGTCCCGAAGTATTTATTACTTTAGAATTCGTTTAGTAAATAACTAGCTTCCGCACGCAGCTTCGCCTGCGTGGTATGTTGTAGCCTATGTCCTATTCCGTTGTGTATCCTTTGCATGTGCCAAATTTTGTCCAGATCCGTCCAGGCGTTTTGACGTGATCGAGTTACAAACATCCAAACATCGTAACTTTCGCATTTATATTATTAAGTAAGGTTAAAGGGATATCCTTATTTATTAAAACAGCAGCTGGGGGCGATTTTCATGTTTATTAAATACTTTCAGACAAAACAATAGCAAACACACACAGGTACACTGTTTTGTCTACGTTGGAATCTAGTGTTCCAACATTTTGCTGTATTCCCTCTTAATTTAATTTGAACGTCTTTCGTTTCAGAAGCAATTAAATATAAATTAGTTTTCCTTTACATGTAGGATAATTATTAGTATTTCAATATTATTAGTTAGTAGTAGCTTTGTAATTAAGGTCGAAGTACTTACGATGCTATATACAATTTACATACAAGCTGACAACTTTTATGAACTTACGGTTATCGTTTTTATGTACATTACAAGTACATAAGCGATGTCGCACGATAACGTCTTTATTGTTTATGCTGACATGAACATGTTATTGATTGACATTATTATATTATTAATGTTATAATTTTATCAATTAACTATTTGGCCTTAAACGATAAGCGTGTATGATAATTTGAATTAAAATTGGTTTAAATCTGTGTTAATTAAAGGCCAGGGTTGTTAGTTCAAGAAATGGAGTTTAGTGATCGGAAAGCATGGGATGGGAATAGAGATGCGTCAAAGGTACACATTCCAATTAGGAGAGCACAAATTGCTGTCGAGTTAGTAACCTATCGAACGTCTCCGTAAAAGGTAGGCGTTAACCTGAAATTTTCGAGTGCAATGTTTACCTGAATGAACTAAAACGCACACCATTATTTTAGTAACAGCTTCTAAAGCTGTTGAGAGAATGAATTTAAATTTAAATTGACTTATATTTTTGAATTACGAATTAATTGAAGTATCCATTACTATATACTAGTTGACTAAGGAAAGGTGTGATTTTCTTGAATAGTGAATAGATTTATTTTGAAAGTAAAAGCTTTATTAGTTTGTTATTGTGAGGAGGGAATTGATAAAGTTCTTCTCCCGCCTAGGGTAAGCGTCAAAAATATAAAAGGCTCACTAAATAGCCCATTGGTCACCACATATGGGGCCCAACAGGGTCGATGATGAGATGTTTAACCAGGGTTGCGGGTCAAGCGCAATTAGGTACAGCGGCCTCGGCTTAGGGCTCAGGGGAGGAGAGGGGAGGAGAGGGGAGGGGTTGGTTCGTAAGTCTGAAAGTTCCTCTCTCCATATCCGGGTATTACTCAGAGATAAGAAAAGCAATTTGATGATTTCCTCTTCTCAAGAAAGGCTAAGCGACAAAAATCAAGTTTCACGTTTTTTTATAATCAATATACTTAGTAGGTAACTATAGTTCAACTTATTGATCGAAATAAAAACATGATATCATTGAATTTGTATAAGCTAAGATATATTTATGTGTTGCAGTGACCCTATATTGTCAACTCGGCAGATGATGTCATTGTATAGTTACATACATAATACATAACATCGTTATATACCAAGGAAAACTAAAGACGGTCCTACTATTTCCAGCTCTTGTCGATGACTTAGTTTGTATTATGTATGCTTAATGTGTGTGTGTTGTTTTATGTATTACCTAAGTATAATGTTTAATTCTCTAGATCCTTCAAGATATCAATTATTTAGTCATAGTTAGGTATTCAAGAATAGAGATCTAATTAAAAAATAAAATTTAAATTAACTAATATTTATTCTCAATTACGCTTTCTTCAAACAAAAGCCACGAAACAGAATAAAGTGGACGTTTTAGCGGAAATATAAGATACATTTACAGGCGACACGGCGTATTGGCTATGACTCATAACTTTTGGATGGTGTAGGTATACATATTTCTAATTTACTCATAAGACTAACTCCTGGTTTCCGAAAAGCCGATCAATGTCAAAATCAATTTAATCTCTTGTCAAGTCATCTGATTGGTTGACTGAATTATCAACAACCAATCAGATGACTTGACAAGAGATTTAACAGGAGATTAGTTAATTTTAGCGTTGACAAGCCTTTCAGAAACCGGGTGTAAGTCCCAGTAAGGAGAGAGACCTCTTCACACTGTTTACAAGGTACCTAAATAGAGTACTACGTAAATCTCGGTTCATGAAAACTAAACGCATACCTCGAGAAAAGAGAAAATGTTATAAAATAAAGAAAATTGTCGTAAGAAGACCTTTGAATGTTAAAATACTCGTAATACGAAAGAGTAGAAACCAATCGTTCGAGTTGGCCTTCCATTCAGATACTATCTAGGTAACTGTATCGCGTATTCCAGGCACTCTTTGAAAGATGTCTACCACGATATGAATGTCATCTAGATGTCTGTCTCAAGCGGAAATAGAACAGCTGTAGTTCATACATGCCTATACATCTGTACCTAAACGACTTGTACGCCCTTATGAGTCTTCAAATAAGGGTTGAAAGTAAACTATAGGGAGGTTTTTGCTGTGAAACTCCTTTTTTCTAGCACGATATACTTATATAATTTTGTTGATTTTCTCACTAACGCCTACACGTTGAAAAAGATCACAGCCTACATGTAGGTACGTAATACGTAGGTACAAAAACCTGCTTACATATATTGTACAGAAAGCCATCTTGGTCTGGTAACGTCCGTGTAACGTTGAAGCTGCCAAGTCTCAAGCTCAGTCCTCTAAATACAGAGAAGTAGGTACTTACTAAGCGACAAATACGTTGAAACTGGATAGAATTACAATTATGAACCAGAATTTTGAAAACTGAAAAGCAAATAATTACTGTAACTGTTTATTACCTAAAAAGAGGCATAATTAATTAAAGCTTTTAAAGCTTTCTCACAACACTGTTTTACGAGGTATATAACTGGTCTGGTTTCAAAGCACAGCCGGGGCTCTTACACATAGTCATGCTACAATGCTGCATACCAAACATCATCATCTCGTTCTAGCTATCAGTTCAAGGCAAGGCTTGAGAAATCGCAACGCAATGCATCGCAACCCGCACAAAAATAGGGTCACCGTTGTAAATTACCAAACTGTCACCAAAATTGTACTGTAACAAACATTCAGTAATCATTAGTTGATTCAATGACTAATAATTTAGGCTACTTCACTGCGACATAATATGTATATTATACTTAAGGTTTATTTTTTAACTTTACCCCATACTCGGAATATTTTCTTGTGTCGTGTGCGGTTACGTTTGTCAACACAATACAGTAAATACAAACAATGTCTAAAATATAGGCATGTTTAAAAAAAGAATGGTAAGTTAGTAGCGCATTCGTACTTTCTTAACCAAAGATAAAAGGTCTTTGTTCTGTTTCACTTAGTCCAGGTTTATTGATAAGTAAGTGAATCAAACTTGATCTTTGACATGATTATAATCTGATACTTATTAAGACACAATTCCCAGAATAACCGCACGATAATAAAATAATAATAATGTTGATATAAATATGAACAATACTTACCTAACTATTCAAATAAAGTTTCAATTTACTTACTCATTTGTGATACAATGTATTTACTAATGTCACACACACCCGTTTTTTTATGTGATAGTACGGCAAACAAGCTGACGGATTACCTGATGGTAAGCAATCGGCGTCGCCCATGGACACCCGCAACAAAGAAGGAGTTACGAGTGCGTTAGCGACCTTTTAAGGATTGGGATTTTGGGGATTTAGGGATTGGGGTAGGGGAAGGGTTGGGCTCCGGTAACCTCACTCACACGGCGAAACACAACGTTGTGGTTGTTTCACGCCGGTTTTCTGTGAGGCCGTGGTATCACTCCGGTCGAGCTGACCCATTCGTGCCGAAGCATGGCTCTACCACACTCACCTATGATACCACACACCTATGATGTACCTACTAAGTATAATTATGTCCCTTCTGTAAGTTTATGCTTATAATTTTTTTAATAATCGTAATCAAAAAGCAATTTTGCTATTTTTATAATATTTTTTGACACAAATACATTCAGATATGCTGCAAATGAAATAAGTTTAAGTATAAAACTGGCTTTTGCCCGCGACACCATTCGCGTGAAATAGTGAGTTCCTGCAGATTTTTGGTATAAAAGTATCCTATATGTCCTTTCTCGAGTTCCAAAATATGTCTGTACCAAATTTCACCGAAATCTGTTCAGTAGTTTAGGCAAGAAAAGACAGACTAACA